AATTGTTGCGCACATTTTTAAATTTGTTGCACTTATAGTTTTTTAATTATTTCACAAAAACATTTCCTGCTGGGATAACGTTACCCCAGCCAGACCTTTTTCTTTCTAATGGGAATATTTAAATAATTACTAGCTTTAAAATTAGTTGTCTAGATGAAGTAAATGTTGTTTTTTCATCGGTTGCATAGTTATTTGAGATTTTGCTGGGGTAACGTTTTTTGATTTCCCTACATCTTTGAAATGGTCAAGCGGATTCTTATCATATTTGGTACATGGCTTCTTAGGAATTAGTTTAAATTTGTTGTGCAATAAAAAACCAAAATAATACATAGCTTAAACTGTCAAACACCAAGCGGTCACCGGTGACCGCAACCTATTGTTCTATAATTGTGTCTATAATGACGGTACTCGACGAGTTAAAGGTTATTTCATTAAATAGAAAAACACTTTAATTGGTCCCAGCCCTCTCAATAAGAGCTCGAAAGACTTTCTTTAAACATTATTTTAAAACTTGTAACTGCCTTCGAATGTATGTGAAGTTTCATTAGTATCCTGTAAGTATTGAACAAGTTATGATAATATTGAGTTCTTCATGAGCATGGTCTTGATGCGCGCGGTGTTATTTGGCCACTGGATTGGATGTATGAACTGAATGTTATGTCAATAATTAGTTGTTTAGTTCAGTTGTATATCAGTAAAATTTCAGCTGAAAACATTGGATATAATTAATGAGATAATACGATTAAAGTCATTAGGGAGAGAATGATTGTGATAACCAGACCAAGTTTAAGTGGTTACGAAAAAGCGAAAATGCAGAACATTGTCTATAAGACACAACTAATTATCTATAACATTCAAATGACCATTTTCGACATCTGGCCTGGGTAACACACACCATTTCTACGTATACATAAAAGTGACGTCACGCGACATTTCAAATCAATATATCGCCGAAAGAATTCGTTTCTGGAAGAAAATAAAAAATACGTGTAATTTTTTAAAATAATCTACAAGACAGACATTAAAATAAAAATTAGGCATCTACCCTATAAATAAGGAGTGACTTACAATATTTTCAAGTTCCACACTCTGAGGGTTGTTTTTGTTGAAATATCCTTGTGCATCTGCTAGCTTGTCCAGAGCCTATCAATGAATGAAATAAAATGTAAAAAATACAGTAAATTGCTGTTTCAACTAGGAATTGTAATAAAAATATATTATAATTTTATTGACTTTGAAAAAGTGGTCTTGCAGAGTGATTTTTAAGAAATTATCATATATCAATTAATGTTAGCTAGAAACTTACTTCTAGGTAGACGTTAAGTGAGTCGGTAGTGCTGGTGTTAGGCCCAGCCTGTATTAAATCTACGAGCTCTCTGGACACCATGTAGTAGTTTATTACATGCTCCAAGGAACGGACTGTGCGTTCCATGTCTAAAATATAAATAAGTAATAATAATATTTTAAAACTATAACACAAGTAACTATATAAACAAAGTAGATATTAAATATTGAGTAATTATGGGAGGCTATATTCAGCAGTGTATATCTTGTGGACAATTACAAGATGATGGTGATGACTGATGATTATACAAATAAATAAGTTACTATAAAAAAAAATGTTCCATTTCTAGTGCTTCACTATCTTACTTTGATGAATGTGTTGGAGCCTGGCGGTGTCTCCATAAAGAGGCAGTACAGCAGTCTCCAGCTGCTGCAGGCGCTGCTCACATGCCCCGAGGACATTGCAGACATCATTTGCAAGAGATGAGCCACGATTAGCTGCAGCCTTCAACTCTTGAATATTTGTCATTTCCTAAAAATGATACAGAAATTGATTAGTATATTACTAATTACTGACTAGGCTGGAGGGCATGTAGGTACTGTGATAATAAACACCTTTGACACGCCCCCAAAACAATTTTACAATAACAAAAACAAGTCATTTTATTTACATCAACAATATAAATTATGGTTTTTGGTTTATTGCAAAGCTAGATATTAGATTATGCCATTACAAACTTATAAGATCATCGAATTATAATAAGAAAGTTAATTAATTACAAATTAAGCGTAAACATACCTTTCGTAACTTCATTTCTATTTCAAATTTCTTCTCTACGGCATACATCTTGTTGATGTTATGATGTTCTACGATGATTTTTCGATAATTAGGTTTCCAATTAGATCAGCAAATCATTACTGTAGATCAAAAAAAAAGATAATCTAAAATAATTGCGGAATTTTGATTTTTCCAACTATGTTGACAAAATTGACATTTGACAGCGAACAGCAGTTGGATTGTTATTGCCATTTCATCATTTTTGTCTTGCCCGTGTTTGACTGACTAAGAAGCTGACAGAATCCTGAGTGTGAGATGAATATATTTTATTTTATACATAGTTGCAAAATTATTACATTGATTAAAAATACCTTATTAAAATATAAACTCTTGACGTTTATATTTTATAACTTACGAATATCCGAACGCGCAATGTGTGATGACGTGCCGTGAATCTCGAAACGTGGCTGACGTTTGCGTTGTTTTGTCAGTCAGTTTTGCGTTCGTATTTTCCGATCTAGGTTGCTGCTATTACTACAGTAAATTGCGCTACGCATAGTATTACTTAAATCAAGTAATTTAATAAATTCAAGTAAGTTCCCGCAGTTTATTAAGTGTTTCTATTTGAAATTTTGTTGGAAATCGGCTTTGTTTTAACTGTACCTTGTCCTATTTCTAGAATAATGGATCAAATCGCTAAGTTCGTCGAGCCTGGCAAGCAGTTCGCTAAGGACTCCATCAGACTGGTCAGGAGATGCACAAAGCCTGACAGGAAAGGTGAGACTTATTCTAATTCTGATTTAATATCATAACAGTGATTACAGTCGACACTAGTTTGCGATGTTGGCACTTATCCATTGGAGTCCCGTTGTTTCTAGATGTTTGCATTCTAACTAAGCATCAGTAAATAACAGAAAGTTTCACTGATTTCCATCTGCTCTTACGTTAAAAAGTCAAAGTATCACAGTTTACTCAATAAAACTTATAAGACATCACATATGTTATGAAAATTAGAGTTACTTCAGTACTTATCTTGTCTGCCTCATTTATCAAGTGTTTTCAGACTTTCTCTAAGATTTCCTACCCTTACAATATCACACACAAGAATCTATATTCTTTTTACTTCAATATGCAATGCATAAATAAAAACTTTATTAATATCTCATAATTTTCATCTACCTATTAGATATGATCACAGATCTTCAATATATATCTGAGTTCTAATATGTAATGTAATTGCGGGATATGGTATTGAAGGACCCTCTTTTAATTAGTGTAGTAAAATCAATGAGGTAAAAATAGTGATTGTTTTGTCAGCTGATTTCTAATGTTGTGTATTCCACTCTTATTTAATGGCCAAAATAATTAGTAATAATAGTATATAAACTATAGTATAATAACTAGTATAATTTTAATGCAATAATAGTAATGAAGTTTTTGTAAAAAACTAGATTTGGTAATAAGATCTATTTTTGATTTCTGTCATTACGATAGTCCATTTTAATAAATTAGGACTAAAAATTGTGGGCTACTCACGTGAATATACTGCGAAAGGCTCTACTAGTTTCAAACCACAGAGGGGTTCTTCCCCTCATGAGCAGCTATGTAGGCTATGCGACTTCGCCATAACCCGCAATTTTTAGTTAATTTAGTATGTCTCACGTTAGTTATTTTAAAAACAAATTAAGGACTAGTTGATTTCTATTGCAATTTTAGGTTGGTTCTATACCCATACGGAATAATTGTTATTGTGTTCCACAAATGTCAAGTGATTGATTTGGTTGTATGCCTTTCTTCAATATTATGGACTCAAAAGCTTTAGTACCTTTCAGGCATATTTCTGATTATTGATGCACTTAATTCATTTAAATATTGTCACATAATTTTCATTCTCAGTAGTTCAATATAGACAAGCCATATGGCTTATCTGATTTCTTTTTACAATATCTCAAGGAGAAATTTAGTTTTAAAAACCTGTAATGTAACTCAACTCACAAGCCATTTCCATCTTCTTTACATGGGACTTACTTATAGCATTAATGGCAAAGTTAATGATATACTTAGCATTAAAATTTATAACAATGAAAACGAAAATGTGGAAGTTAAAGAGCCTCATAATTTTTTAATCTTTTTAATTCTTTTTAATCCCATATCTTTATATTTTAGGGACTTTTATAAGACACAGCATAGCCTCATCTTATGTATGACTACTTTCATCCTTGAACCAATTTTGTATTATTGATGAAAGGATGAAGGCTTCACTAACTTAGTAACCCTAAGTAGTAGATATAATAATCATACCTTTATAGTTTAGTATTGTCTATGATACATTTTCAATTGTATAATTTGATTTAATTATTATATTTCTTTTATTCTCCAAATATGCCTATATTTTATTATTGACGTATTTGGAATTGTAACTAAGCTATGCTTATTTCTCTTTTCCAGAGTTCCAAAAGATCGCAATCGCCACTGCTATCGGATTCTGCATCATGGGCTTCATTGGATTCTTTGTAAAACTGATACACATTCCAATCAACAACATCATCGTCGGATCATAGGAAGCCTAGGATAGTTTTAGCCTTAATTCTACATTTAAGACCCTCAACAACTCCTTAAGTTAACTGTCAATTTCATTTATAAATGTTTCTTACAAAATAAATTATTCAATTCACCCCACTTTTTCTTATTTTTTCTCTAGAATGTGGTTTGTTGTCCCATTGTGCATGAATGGATGGATAATCTGTAGTATCAGTGCTATGTTCTAATTGATTTGTTTATTGTGTAATATAATAAATAATATATTTATTAAATATATATACACTCGATCAAACTCCTTGCATTTTTTTCTATTTAATTCAGATAACATAGTTTTTATATCCTGAAGGCATATTAAACTTTGTGGTTTTAGGTAACTAAGGAAAATGAAGCAAACAAATAAACAACTTAACAATTTTTATTTCATCACATTTGTCATTTGTAGTCTACAAAGTAATGTCACTCTTAACATTTTAGATTAAATCTAAAAGTTATACCTAACTATTAGACAATTAATTTTGTACTCTCACAACAATATTAATTTGGAACAATTTTACAATAAATTATATTGCTTTTTAAGCATTATATAAATTGGTACAGATTAAAAACACTAGATATGACCTCGCCTTAATTTGGTTTTCTATATAAAATTGGAATAAAAAATGTAGGTAAAAAATTATAACAATTTATTACTATTTTAGATTTTATCTATCAATCTCAAGCTTTTTCTAACACGTGAATATAAAAGCTGGGTACTGGGACTGCGCTCATTGGCTTGAAGTCGGCGTAGATTTCGTGTTTGGCGCGGTTATCGAATGCCTCATCCAGCATTGCGGTGAACTTGTCCAGTTTGTGAGGGAAGTAGCACAGACGGAATTCGCTGGAATTAGAAAACATGAAATATTAATTAAACCGTCTAATGTTCCGGCGTAACCAATTAGCACAGTGGCTGGGTGGCCGATTGCTGTGCAACGTGTTAGGGGTTCGATTTCTGCGTTGGGGAAAAGTGGTCATGGATTTTTCATTCCGGACCCGTCGTAGACAAGCAGTGCTATTCAAGCAAACATATTTTCATATGCTTATACCACTCGTACCGAACTTCAAAAATCTAACAACGAGTCGGAACATGTGTATGTACCTACTTAAATAAGAAAGTGTTGTGTAGTGTTAAAAAAAGATGTTTTTGGTGCATGAAACAGATGCACTTCACTATGAATATTTCATGGTGAATGAAGCCAATACACTAATTGATTAAGGAGTATAGCTATTAAGTAGGGGTGAAGGTCTTACCTCTTCTCGCTGTTGGCGTCGTCGTTGATGCAGTAATCTAACGCGACCAGCTGAGCCTTGCCGCCCACGACTAACACCGATGTTTTGATGTCCACTGGGTATTTGCACTGGAATTAAAGAAACGACATTGTTAGCAAACATATAGGTATCCATAAGTTTTTTTTTTTTTAATGGGGGAAAATCATCGAATGACTGCTCCCGCCTGGGTGAGGCGGGAGGGAGTGTCAGACTCTTACTGACTAAAAACCACCCCGTTGCTTCTCCTGCACGTTGAGCCGGAGCCCCGGTTACCCGTTAGGTTCTCCGCGACTCCAAATCGGCATCAGCCCTATTGGGCCCCATCTGTGGTGGTCTGATGACTCTTTTAGGCGCGCGCGGAACGCGACGCACCGCACGCTCGGGTCTGTTTCTGGTCGGACGGGGAGCCACCCATGCTCGCCGTCCGCAGGCCCGATATCCATAAGTATATCATGTTTATTATGTATGAAGGGATAGGCAGGATGCCCAGTCTACACAGTATATCAAATTAGCTTAGGTAGGTTTTGAGAATTTCTAAAATCAAAAGTTGTAACAAGTAGTAGGTAGGTATCTAAGCAGACAGGTAGGTACTTTTACCGGATCGAGAATCGAGCCCAAAACTCCTTATTCGACATTTATTCTAGTGAGTAGCGAAGCACTGTTCACTGACAGTGTCACCAGTAAAGATACTGGTGACACTGTCAGTGAACAGTGGAAATAACAATATGATTTAACCGCAAATGTCCGAACCTAACACATAAACATCGCACTAGTCTATAAGCCACTCCCTCAAAAATGATGAAAGGGATAACAGATTACACGTGATGTTATTCTACAGGCTCTTTAAAATCCTTGAACTTTACAAGTTCAAACACATATTTGTCATCATTAACTTGTTTATCATGTCGCAGATAAAATTGAAAACTCGCCGATGACCCTGTTATTTAATGAATTATCTCCTAGCTTAATAAATAGTGATAAACAAGATATTAACACTATATTAAAGAAATGTATTATAAACACGTCGATAAAGTTATGAAATTGTTGACAAAACTTGCCTAGAAACAAGTTACAGACACAATTCACAAACAATTATTGTTACAGACAGCAACGAATAAATGAAGTTAAAAATTAATCTATTAAAATTTAGATCAATTTCATTTCCCATTGGTTGGCGTAAACACTTAAATACAATTATTTAAACGTTCTAAGTAGGTACCTACCTAACACCGGCATGAACTGGATTGCGAAGAATACTGATAAGATTGTTACTTTCTGGTTAAGCATAAAACATCGTTTTAGTCACAGATGTTAATTTTATAACTACGCGAGGCTTAGAAAATTGTATAAATCGTAGAACATTTTTTTTTTTTTTTTTTAAAAACGTTGCCCCACACTAGGATTTTCTCCTGTGTCGTGGGTGCGTTTACAAACATACAAGTTCACATACACAATGACACCCAGACCCGAAACAACAATTTGTGGATCACACAAAGTGTTGTCCCGTGCGGGAATCGAACCCGCGACACGTTGCACGGCAGCCGGTTGCCCAGCCACCGCACCAACCGTGCAGTCGAAGTCGAATTCACTACTACTTCAATATAATTGATTGGCTCTGATGCCATCCGCACCTGTGATCTGCACCATTAACCTAAACTTGTAGTATTTACTTACGGAGGGCCTAGACTAGTCCTATAGTCAAATAGAATCTGTCCCTCATTATCATAGATACCAAAAGCATCAAAAACTTACATTGTAATAAATAGAGTGTCCAGGTGTGGCGCCACTATCGATAATGGCATCGTAATTCCTGTGGTCAATGAATAACAGACCGCCAGGTTTCAGACATTTAGCGAAGTTCCTTAAGCACATTTTCTGCATCCTTTGGTCGCCGTACTCATCTAGAAGATGGGCGAAGGAGTTTCCTAGGCAGATGACGGCGTCAAATTGTGTGTTGGGTAGGAAAGCTTCAATGTCCCGGGGTAAAGTCTCCCAGTTAGCTTCTTCGATGACTGAAATAATAAAAGAAAATAAATAAATAGCTGTTTGTACTTATATCGGTACAATGTGCAATGTCACGCCACAATCGAGTGTATTTTTCCTAATGAAAGCAAAAACGAAACCTTGGAATCTAACACTAACAATTTTATAAATTGTACAAAACAGATAATAAATCTGGTCTTCTTATACCAACGGCCTCAAAGTAGGTGAAATAATGTCTATGTTTTCACAATTAAGTAAACAGTTCGAAACTTACTCCACTCATCGTACTTCGAGTCTTTTCTCCTCTCCCATCGCGCCTTGAGAGCGTGCTTCAACATCTTGTCTGAGGCGTCCACTGACACCACCTTGAAGCCTTCATTTACCAGCATCATGGAGTCTATCCTAGAAATACAAGTTTCGTTAATTAAATATGGAAAGAAATAGAAATAAACAAGAGTTTAAGATACAAACTCACGCTAGGTATCAAAGTCAAAGTCAAAGCATTTATTTCAATTAAACCATAGTTTGGTACTTTTGAAACGTCAACAAATACAAAATAAATAATAGTCTGTCAGTCAGTCCGTCAGTGAAATTAGGTGAAGCTAGGTGCTCATTCCAAAACGTAGATTCGAATGGAGAAGAACGAGTAAGAAACTCCATTCGTTACTCTTTTAAAAAAGTATGTTCTACAATGTCTCTAGTTAATCATTAAACCAAAGGTGCTTTCGAACATACAATCTATTTTTAATCTTTTGTGGCCCTTTTACAAAAGTAACTTGGAATAACAGTCTAGTTGCATCTACGTTGAAACTACAATTCTACAATGTAATCTAAAACAGTCTCAGCCCTAACATATCATTGTAGGTAAGTGGGAGGCATTGTTACATTCTGCAACGTCATTCTTTTGACAAACGGAGCTCTATACCTATAGTTTAATCAAATTATTTTGGTAACCGATTTCTTATAATAAATGAAGTGTTGTCATGATGACTTAATGCCTCCTCTCCTCCTCTCCTAAGGTCTCCTGTCCAATAGGTTATTCAACCATATTACAGTAATTGAGCAGAATGGTCTTCTGGGGTTTAGGTAGGTGACCAGAACCCTATGTAAGTCAAATTTTGTCTGACACTCACATTGGCCTCAACGGTTGTGATAAATGATTTGTTTTCAATGTACTTGCCTACATACTAGTGCCGTTTACTTTCACTGTCTAATAAGTATTTGGGTTCCTTGCGAATTCAATGTCGAAATCACGTTTAGAATTTAGTTGAGAGTGTCGAGGTCACATTTTATGCAATTTTATTCCATCCTTGTGAGTGCAAGCTAAAGAAATAAGAGTTAAGGCTAGTACAGTTTAATGATTGTCAGTATTTAAAACTGAACAGGAAAACATTGATTTGCGATGTTATCTGGTCACACCAGATGTAGTCAGTTAAATCTTGGTTAATGACTAACAAAGTTCAAAGATAACGTATTATGAAACAAATCATAATTGCAGATAATTGTAGCATTTTTGAATACTCATGCTTAGGTCAAGTCACTTATTAAACGTCTGGTGCTTAGTCTATAGATCCTAGACTTATCAGAGCAGGTAGTTTTCTGTCCATAGGAGTGTAAGTAGAACATAATCGTGTCAAGTTAATTACGTCCGATGCTGTAAAGACTCATCATCATCATAACGTCACGCCTTTTATCCCCGAAGGGGTAGGCAGAGGTGCACATTATGCCATTGTACAATGTAACACCCACTTTTCACTATTCATGTTATGAGTCCCATGTAATAGGGGGTGAGCCTATTGCCATATACCGGGCACAATTCCAGACTCCGTGCTATTTCTGAGAATTTTTAAAAACCCAACAATACTTTGCCCGGCCCGGGAATCGAACCCGAGACCCCTTGCCGGCAGTCGCCCTTGCGACCACTCGGCCAACGAGGCAGTCAAACTTACTGTAAAGACTAGTAAACAATACCTCACCTGGTAGTGAAATTGATGAGGATAATTCATAACTAGGTAAGTACTTGGTTTGTAGGGGTTTTATGAATTGTTTCAAGACTAGGTTGGACGTTCTGGTTCAAAGATCATACATACAAAGTGTAAAGACTCGAGAATACGTGCGCAGCAGCTAGGTGCAGCCACTGCGTCAATCATGCAGTCAAAGAATAATTATTTTATGGGCTTTAACATAATGTACCATAAGGGGGTGTCATTCATCAATTAGATAATCATTTTGAGGATTCAGATTTAAGTAACACTTACCCAGTTCCGCAAGCTGTGTCCAAGATTTTCTTGCAACCATTTTTCCTGAGGAGTCCAATCAAGAAGTCCTTATAATTCTGTGTCCTCTCGTTGCTGTCTCCAATGAATTTGTTCCATGTCCTGGCTGCCTTTCCATCTGCATACTGATCCTTTACTCCCTCGGAAGGTATACCTTCAGATCTTGAGTGGAACACTTGATCAGCAGACATGATTTACTGCAGAAAGAAGTATAAATGATATCAGCAATCATCTAATTCGAATATTTTGGCTTGATGGCTAAACACAGCACACCTAAAACCTAGGATTCAAAATTTTGTACAGACAAACCTATATTTTCCACTGGAAACTTGGGCAAGTTTGGCACCGACTACCTAACAACCGGTGCGTATAAAAAGGCACAAATTATACCGAACTTAAAACAATAAATAATCTATACAGGTAATTGCATGCCGACTGCACTGTTAGTGCGCTGGCTGGGAAACTGGCTGCCGCGCAACGTGTCGCGGGTTTGATTCCCGCACGGATCAATTATTTGTGTGATCCACAGATTGTTCTTCCGGGTCTTTGTATCATGTGTATGTGAACTTGTATGTTTGTAAACGCACTCACGACACAGGAGAAAATCCTAGTGTGATGCAACGTTTTTTTTTCTAAGAAAAGAATTAAGGCTAAGAATTAAAAGTTAGATAGATAAAAATCTATCTAACTTAATAGTTGATACTAACTCATGACAACCGGGATCCCAGGTCGTCCGTACTACATTCGGTGAGTGAAGCGATAGATGACGCAAGATGATGCAACGACCATAATATCGGTTTTGTTTTATGCAAAACCGGTATATTGATGTGCCTCCGGAAAACATACAGCATTGCTTTGAAGACGTGTTTGTTATCTGCTGGTGAAATGTATGTGCATGTAACACAACGCTATTTTGATTGATTATTCAGTAAATAAGTAAAATGTTTTATGAAAATAAGCTATTTATTCATTAATTTAACACTAGCCTACAATCAAATACAATATGAGACATAATTATACTAACTATTAATAAATTAATAATAAGTGATTTATTGAAAAATTAACTCTGTAATCGTTAGATTATGCTGGTTTAAAAGTACCAAAGAATGAATTACGATTATTTTTTGGAAGTGCTATCTCACGACAGTAATGATTAAAAAATGTATTAGAAGATTTCCAATTACCCCGTGACAAAATCTCATCTATTGGTTGATTATCTGACCACCCCAGGGAAGCCACAGCCGATCTACAGCTTCCTGGGGGTGCCTGAATCCCACTATCTCTCAACACTGATCGTATCCAGTTCCCTATCACAGTGCGGGACGCTGCTTTAATATTTTTGTTTACAGTAATAAACAGACAATTTAAGCCATCAACTTCCAACCGTCTTGTTTTATTTTTGTCGTTTAAAAGTCTAATCAAAGTGACCGGGCATATGTTTTTATCACGATGTTTAGAAAACTTCCATGCAGATTGACGATAATTATGTGTATCAGTTTTAGAACCAAAAGCTGGTATTAAATACAGTTCTTCACCATTATCAAAGAAATGATCATTTGAAATTTTAAGTAAAGTTAAATCATGGACTCTGCGTCCCGAAGCTAATAATAAAACAGTAGCCGTTTTGCGAGCTAAATCAAATAAATTGTCTTTAGGCGGATTAATTGAAAGCCAGTCCAATACTATTTGTGGATCCCATGTAGACGATGGTTTAGTAACTTTAGGTTTAGCTACTCCTATTGCTTTAAGGGTATGTTTTATAATGAAATTGGATAAAGGTTGTTGCTCTACGTGAGGTCCACAGAAGGTTAAAACTGCTGATTTGTGTACAAGAATCGTGCTGTAGGATAAGTTTTCTTTTAAGAAGAGATACATTAAAAATTTTGCAACATCAGCTGATTGTGGAGATTTTGGGTCTACTTGTCGCGTAGAACACCATGAAAGCCATCTTTTAAGCGCTGGAATGTATGTGGACAGTGTAGAAGGTCTCCAGCTTTTCTTCAAAAGGTCTTTTTCTTGTAGCGACCATTCCTTTATGTGTGCACCCCACCCCCAATTTTCCAAACTTTCAGGGTTAATGTCTGAGCCTGTGGGGGAGGCTGTAATGTCGCGAAATCTATCATGTTCTCTGCTAGATTCTGAAGCACCAGTGGATGGTCCAAAGCTCTCGATTTCAGATCTTGAAGCCAGAACGCCCGGGGCCACTCTGGTGCCACAATCAGGTAAATCCCCGTGGCCTGGTTGAGATGGGCTAGGACTTTTGGTAGTAAGGTCGGTGGGGGGAACACCCAAGCCCGTCGATAACACCATGTTCTGCTGAAGGCATCTATATAACTTGCCGATTGATCTCTGCAGTCTAGCGATACATAATTTTGTACTACAGCAGTTTCTCGTGACGCAAATAGGTCGATCTCCGGTCGGCCCCACCTCCGAAAAACTTCCGCAGTTGCTCGGGGTAGAAGATGCCATTCTGCTGGATGTTTCCCGCGAGATAGTCTGTCTGCTATTATGTTGTACCTCCCTGGTACGTACTGTGCGGATAGGGTTATCTTGAACTTGTCGATTAGGTGTAAGAGCTCGAAGGTTAGGTTTAGTAAAGCTAACGATCTGGTCCCCCCTTCCTTCCGAATATAAGCAATCAAGGTCCTGTTGTCCGAAAGGACAAGTACGTGAGTTCTTTGCAACAACTTTGCATTTTCTTTGATTGCAGCCAAAACAGCGTACAGCTCTTTTTTGTTGCTGTGCCATTTTGTTTGTTGGGGCGACCATGTTCCTGATAATAACTTTCCGTCTATGTGGGCTCCCCATCCCAAATCCGAAGCGTCCGTCGCCAGGAAATGGGTAGCTGGCTCCTTGTGTATGGGCATACTGTGGCGTGTAGCTCCGCGCCACCACGTCATATTCTGGTATACCATTCGAGGAATGGGCTGTTTCTGGCGCGGTCGTTTCTTGTCGAAATGTCGCAGAAAAATCTGCATTTTTCGGCAATGTAGTCGGCCCCGTGGTATTACGAAATTCGCAAAATTCAGTTGACCTAGTAGGCACTGTAACTCTCGAAGACTGATGTAGTCTCTGTTTAACAATCGACTGAGCGCATTGTTTAAGTTTTGAATTCTTTTTATTGGCAGTGACATGATATTCTTGGCGGTCTGCCACCGAATGCCCAGATATTCCAGATCCTGTGTTGGTGTCAAAATTGACTTTTGGTGATTGACCTGCCAGCCCAGTTGTTCCAAGTGCCTCACGGCTTCCGCAGCCTGATGACATAACTTGGATTGGTCCTGATGGACCAAAAGGAAGTCGTCTAGATAGACTAGAACCCGACATCCCTTTGCACGCAAGGTCTCCGCGACCCAGCATGTTACGGCAGAAAAAAGGTGAGGCGCTGAGGCCAGACCAAACGGTAGGCATGACATTTCGTACAAATGATCTTTGTAACTGATCCTTAAAAATGGACGGTGGGATTTTGCAACTGGTAGGTGAAAATACGCCTGAGAGATGTCTATTTTTGTCATCCAATCCCCAGGTTGAAGGAAATCTGGTATTGAAGCATGAGAAATCAGACGAAAGTGTTTTGTCTTTACAAATTCGTTCAGTTCTCGAAGATCGAATATAGGGCGCATCGTTCCGTCGCTTTTCTTCCGAAGAAAAAGCTTGGAAACAAAACTCGGTGTTTTTGTGGTAACCGGTATCAGTACACCTTGATCTACAAGGTCTTTTATAATCAAAGACATTTCCCATGATGGTTTGGTTGCATATTGCGTTAAAATTTTTCTCGTAGGCATTAATAAGGGAGGTTTCTTGTAAAAGGGTATTCGAAACCCCGAGATTGCAGAAATGATGAAATCGTTTGCACCCAATGCTTGCCAATGATTCTTGAACATTTTTAGGCAACCCCCCCTGAATTGTGGTACTGCATAGTCATTTTTTGTTATCTTTGTTTCGAAAGGAAGAATTTTTAGATTTGTAACTGTCACTTTTTCCTTTGTATGGTTTTGTTTGCTTTCTGAGGGTATCACGAAAATGTTTGTTCTGTGGTTGTGATTTGTATTTTGATGTAGAAGGGGTTGCGTCTTTATTATATTTATTTTTAATTTGTTCCCTAACTATAGTTTTAGTGGCTGTTGGTGGTGAAATCCAAAAATGGGGCCCTCCGAGGGATTGGATCAAAGACATAAGCTTCGGTTTGTCAAATAAAAATTCTTCACTAGGGGGTATGTTACTAAGTGCAGCTTGAATACTTTTATCGGAAATTTCGTTTATTAGTCTTTTGCGCCTGGTTTCAATGCACTCAGCCCTCTTGCCGCAAATTATTTGTAACGTCTGCTCAGATAATTTGTAGGACTGTGATGTCGTCCCAAACGACTCCGTAATTTTGTTAAAAAGATTATCGGGTATTAATTCCGTAGGATTGCCGTGTGCCCAATCAATTATCCCTTGTAAGCCGGACTGTAACAGTTCTCTTTGTTGCAATAAGGCGTTGGTGGTGGCAGCCATAATTTCTTCTGTTGAAGCTAAGAAATCTTTTCCTTTACTCAAACAACACATTTCATCGTTAATTTTTAAATTACAGAATCCTGGAAAAGCGAGTAAATCTGCCAACGCCTTCTTGTAACGAATATGATGCCACGCAGGCATATTAAATTGTTGCAGGTTTATTAACTGACGCAATAATTTGTCATTTGCGGGTTTGAGCACTTTTTTCTCGTCAAAAACAGTCTTACAAAGGCCTAGGTCTAAAGATTTTGGCGTTAGCGTCGACGGATTACACAAAAAATCGTTTTTCGTATTATCGGGTAGTTTATCCTCATTTTCACTAGAGTTTTCACTCGTAGTGGGCACACATTGTTGGTGCATAATAAAGTTTGTAAGAAAACATACCTGGTTGTATAACGCGTCGATCCGAGGATCGACCGTTACCTCAGTTTGTCGCTTCCGTTTTTTGCGAGGCGGTTCCTTTTCGCTTTCTGATGAACTGCTGTCTTCAGAGGTGTCCTGCTCTTCTTGATCCGGGTCCCTCTCGTTCACCGGCGAGCCCGACACGACCGGTCGGTTGGCAACGGAAGCCTCCTCGACCTCGATGTCGTTAACCGACGCGGTATTCATTGCAAATATCGAAAAATTTAAACTTAAGTTAATTTAGGAGTTTAGACTCACTTAAGAAGGTTTTTAAAATATTTTTATATTCAAAGTACTTTTGCACAAAGATTTACAGTTAAGTTGTAATATCGACCGAACACGGCGAAAGTACACAACGCTATGACATTCGAAGTCTAACGCTCCGGCGCGTCTTGCTGGTGCACCCTAACGCCATCTAGTTACTTTTAGGTGAAAACTACGTGTTTACTAACGTCGATCATAGATGGAGCTGAAAGTATACGACTGCTTCTTCAAAGCAATGCTGTATGTTTTCCGGAGGCACATCAATATTATGTTTTTCTCGCGTTATCACCGTGATAACAGAGTAGCCTCACATCGATGTTGCGATAGTGCCTCATATTGTTTTGGATCGATGTTTCTTATTCATAACAATGATAATGACTGTATCTGTATTATCTGTGGTTTAAAATGACGTCTATCTCGCTGTTTGTTGAAGAGGTAAGGCAGAAGTGTAATTAGGTAGGTACAGCCTAGAGTGCAATTTCGAGGTGCTTTCGTATTTTTCTGAAATTGAACCCGAGCCCTTGCACTTGGTATTACAACAGTATTATAAGTCATAAGTTAACGTATTTTTGTTTACTTAACGAGTCGGTAATGATCCGACTCGTAAACCTACCTAAGACAAAAATACTAAAATTATATGAGTTACACTTAATTAAGTAGGTTCCTAACGTAGGTAAGTACTTTCTTATGGTGCAGATAATCCTGCGATTAAATAATTATTTTAATATTAACCACTTGCGATAAGAATCCCTTCTTTCAATATTTCTGTGGAATAGACCCCAGTAGCCTATCACATTACAGAGATAACTGTCAAGTTACGACAGTTAGGTACAGAAAAGTTAAGACTGTAAAGTCAGACAACACAATTCTAGGGGAATCCCTTCACCAACGACAATCCTATTTTTGAGATATTTTTAAATTACTTTATTGCGGCGGGAACAACTCGTTAGCAAATGTCACGCTTTTCTAAAATATCTGAATAGGTATCGTGTTAATAAATAAATATCCTTTTCATGTAAGTAGTTCTACAAACCTGGACGTTACCAATCTTACCCGTTGATATCCATCCCCTAAATTTGGTCATACAAAAGTATTCTCTAAACATTAGAAATAAGGTCTATAATGTAATGTAATATTAGTGAAAAGCGGTCACCGGTGACCGCTTGGGGATTTATGGGTTAATTATTATATTTCCTTATTCGATCCTAACTTATTTGAAGAGTAAAAGAATAGACCTATATATAATAGGTAGGTGTGTTACTAAACTTTTTGGGGTGTGATCTGGATCTCCTTATGTCTCCCATGATTGCGTGGCGTAAAAAAACAATGATGTAAACCAATAGACATATTACAAGACTATTAATAAATAGTACGTTTTACGTTACATTTATTTTTAACAAAATGGAAAAATCATACCTGTTTTAAACTTCAAACAAAAAATATCAGTCGTTCGGTAATTGAGAACTGGGCACTTTATATTGATGTATTTCTTATTTTACGATAATATTCGCGTGTTTATTGGTCACAAGGCCGTACGCAGTGGTCGTGCGGACGCTGCGAATGCGACTGGTTGCGTTGCTCACACGTCGCGAAATATAACCGTTGTTTGTTGTAGGGACACTCCGACACGTTTTCTTAAACAGCCGATGTTGATAGGAACTATGTAATATGACAAGTGTTATTCGGTAAATGGGTAAGCAGAGCAGTTGTAACTTTAAGTCTAGAACTTATCTCATCTAGGTAGCAAATAATAAAATATGTACTAAATATTTTGTCATCTCCCAGTAATCGAATTCGACTTCTGGTAGGTACAACACAGCCAAATATTTTTACGAGATCTTCAGCAGAGTTTTCAGTTTGGTAGTTTTAGAGGAAGATATCTGTTCGTAATTTAAATCGATAGTTGTAGGTACTACCTACTTACCCTACTTAGTGTTTTGTATTGTCACCTGGTTATTTACGCTTTAAAAGGAAAATTAACTTGCCTACTAAGTAATATTTATTTTTCCTAGTCAACATTATCAACATAATAGTATACAGTTGTATGTATATGTATACAGTACACTGACTACTACTAGTCATAAGAGTAATTTTTGAGAAAAAAAATTGTAGTCCCTGTCTGCACTAGATTGGAACCCGTGAAACGTTACGCAAAGCCGGCCACCCAGTCAATGCGTCAACCGGTCAACCGTGTTGTCTTCATACTATGTTCACTATGACATTGCATATTTAAGATGAATAACAAACAAGAATAGTTTTAAGATAAGATTAAACCGGAACTGACATACACGATTTATACTAGGCCTGCTTAATTTTCTGAAATAAAACATATTTACAGAGGCTACAAAATAATTATATATATTTTCCATTGTGAAATTATTCTTAGAACGCTGCAGAAAAAGTGAGAGATGAGTTAGAGTTGTTTACAGCACTATCTGTCGGTTTTTCCCCTGAACTTTGTAGTAACTTTACAATATCGGCGCAGTATTCTGTGCCGTAATATGAGAGAAAGAATAATCCATACAAGAAATGTGTCCCTCTTGAAATGATAGATTGCTGATACATCATGTTTTATAAGTCTAATTTCAATTTCTATAGTTTACGAACTAACCAAATTCATTATCAGTATGTTAATTCTACGTTGTCATGGTGGTGACGTAACATGTTAACGATTTTGCCGAGATGTTATCGTTACAAGTCACAAATATTGGGTCACGTTCACGATACCGTCCGTTGTTTATGTTAGGTAAGCCGGGGATGCGTGAACTCCGCCTTATCACAATTATAACAATCATTTTTTCGTTTCAACTTAGATGATTTGAATTCAAAAATCCGTGTCGATGATGCTTTAAATACTGTTTGTTTTAAAATTTCGGAAATCTTTAACCTTTTCGCCGCCCAGCTATACTAAACACGATGTGTCGCCGTACGCCAACGTATAAATGTATAATAAATGTATAGTACGAAAGTAGGGATGGCGGTAACATCATGTCGATAATGAAAAAAAATATGTGTAAATTTAAATTGGTACTCAAATTTACAATTAAAAATACAAACTGTTAAGTTATAATGGTAATTTGTTTTATTTTATGAACATTTATACTAAGAAAAATGGGTATCCGTTATCAGAGATGAAGATACATGCATAGAGTTGCTAGAGATAATAATAATAATTCGTAACATTAGCCACTTCACTATTCATTTCATAACGTAGTCTGTTTACTTCATATCAAGTCATTGGCGTTCAAAGCACGATACATTTCGTAAGGAATAGTTGTCTATGCTTTTCTTTCTTTCTATCGAGTTTGGTTTGCTTTTGGTTTTAGTTTACATTTAAAATCTAACGTCAGGTCACGATCAGGAACATTGTTTGTAGTGATTAAAAGTGGCAACATATGTGTAGTTTTGGAAATGGATGGTAAGTAACTATTTTAATACAGATGTACTAAACTTTAATAGCTTATTTTTCATTTAATGCAAATGAAAAACTGGCACGTTTGATGGATATTAGGTAGTCATAAAATACCTATTCGTTGCGGCTCTCGGTTTCGCAAACTTTTAGCTGTGTCGGCGAACAAATATAGAATATACTCATCCGAATCATATTCGGTCATTTTGCACTGCACTGGGAAAGAAAAATGTGCGTGCACGCGTCGCCCGGAACTATGACACAATGACCTTGACGCCTAAGCGCTTACGACGTCACAGGTTTACTTCTATTGAAGTTGACGGCGCTAGTGTCACTCGACATCTTGCCATTACGTAGAGATGGGTCTAGCAATATCGAAAACCCTCAGTACATAATAATTAATTTTAATGAAATGATTTGATAGGTAGATGTACATTAATTTTGAAACGCATTGTAATACGTTATTTACTGACCGGAATTTCTTTTTATTCATAGAATTCAAAAAACTATTGGATGGAAAAGAAAACAAATATTATAGTAAATAAAGATTCTAATGAATGCTCCTTACGCGTCACATCACTGGCCTACTTGATATGAAGTCGTTGGCGTGCGGGATATAAAATTATTTGAAACCTTTTATGTTTTACCTTTTTAAAACAGAAAATAGTCTGTTTTGCATGAGAAAAAATAGTTCGTCGTGTCCATATTACAAAATTACAAAGAAACAAATGTTTTATGTATCGTAAATGTATTTTTTATAGTAGGTAGATACAATGAACTTCTATAGAAGTAGTGGCGTGGACGGCACGAAAATCCTGAACTTCTATAGAAGTTGTTGGCGGCGAAAAGGTTAATTTGCATTTTTATAGTAAAATAGCAAACCCAGCGAACTCCGTTTCGCCACCAGATGGCTTCGTTATAAGAAACATTCTTTGCTATACTTAAGCCTTACGGAACCCGAGACCTTTCCTACGAATGCATGCAATGGAATCGGTTCGTACGTTCTGGAGTTATAGCGTCAGGAAGGAAAACCAGACTTATTTTTATATAGATAGAAGAAGAAGATAAAAGAAGATTGTTAAACAAAACTAGTAGATGATACAGAACTTTTTCCCAAAATCTACCTTTTTCCATTGAAATATGTATTTAAATGTGGGTTTAAGAGGTAGAAAGTAGAAATACGTAGAAGAGTATGATAATATAGGTGTTATTTACAATATTTTAACAAGCATTACCTGCTTGCTACGACAACAATAAAATTAAACAAAATATCCCATCATGCAATTCTAAAGACTGAATGAGGAAAAAAGAGCTTGCAATAAGAAAATTTACTTTCCTGTAAGGTAACAATGACAATACCTATTTCTTTAGTGGACTTTTCATAGTGTCATGACCACATTTTTAATATTATACAGGATACTTCATGCAATAATTACAAAATATTAACAAGAATGAGTAATTTGAAATTATTACTATGAGTAGCACCATTAATATACTTGAGAAAATGCTGCAAAAAATAAAATGTGCTAAACACCAAAATCCTTGTTCTCTCTAGTTGTTTTAACTATGTTAACGTTGAATGGTTATTTAGAAAAATAGAAAAAGGGCATATCCTTTGAAAAAACAATACACATTTAATTTTATCGTTTATTTATGAAACAACAGTATCTTAGTTACAAAACGATTTTACTCCGTCACACAAGGATCAAATTGATAATAGCTTTAGTCATCAGATAAAACTATAGACATAGCTTAACAAAATACATAAATATGTATACAAGATAATACAGTAGTTCATATAGAAAACATTAGTAAGTTGCCATTTTATGCTTGCGACTTATCTACCACAGAGAACATTTAATTCTAAACAATTTTAATTGTGATATTGTTTAAATTAACTCTTAGTAAAAAAAATTCATACAATTTCAATGCCTTCCCTTCCAGCCTATCTTAGTACATGATAGTAATTGACAGAAATGCTCATAAAAGCCTAGTTAAGTAATGCCCTTTAAACTAAATCTCGCAGAGATAAATTATTGCAAATTGATATATTAGGATCTAAGTGTAAGTACCGTAAAAGGTAGGTATGGTTTAAATTCAATCCAACCATAGAATATCGAGCTTTTTAATACAATTATATTCTTATTGATTAAGGATTTACTATGTTTTAAAATAAGTAAATAAGCAAAGGCATACTTCCAGTACACCCACTTTACACTAGTGATGTGTGAGTTCTAAGTTACAAAGTTCGAGTCTACTGCCCAAACACAAGACACGTTCCAAAAGTAAAACTTACTGAGATTTTCAAAATACAATAATCCAGTAACAGTTTTCAGACTTGGGGAACCGAACCTAGTCTTGTACTTGGTAGTAGTATTTGCTAGTCAATAAGATAATGTTCAGATTGAAAATTCTAATAGGTACTATGAAAAGTTCCTTGCAAAAATAATGTCTAGTAGTTACTTGCAATAAGGTCTAGTTTAGTGTGATAACATAATTAGACAAATTGTATATAAGAGGTGCTTAAGTAACTTTTGGCTTCAAAACGTATTGGCAACGAGGATCATCATCAATAACTATATTCGCTTTAGAGGCAGCCTACATCTGAAGCATCAATACCTAACATAGCTAGGTCATCCATTTCTTCCTTCTTTCTCGCAATATTTCCGTTCTGCTCTTCTTCTTTAGGCTTTTGAGGTGGTTCATGTTTTGGCCTCTGTTCAGGTTTATGCTGTTGTTGTCTCTTCTTGTTGTGTTGTGGCCGAGGTTTGGGGCTGGGGACTAGGGGCACATGAGTGTCGTACAGTTGCGGTCGCGGCTGGAACAGTGGAGCGTTGAGGTCGAAACCAAACATTTGCGTCATCTGAGTCTGCATAAGTGGCAGGGGCGGGAAGGGAGGCATCACTCCTCCGAGGCCTGGGACGAAGCCAGGAGGTAATGGGAACAAGCCGTCTCCTTGCGAGAGATCTGGCTTGACTTCCGTTGGGAAGATAATGTCCAGTGCGTCCTGGAAGTCCTTAGGAAGAGTTGGCTGCTGAGGAGGTTGCGGAGTTTGTTGCCTGTGAACAAAAATAATATTGATAATCAAACTGAAGTGGTAGTGAGGTAATGCGCAACTATTAACAGAGCCGATCATTATCGAGGACTTTCGAGAGCGGAAATCAAGAATGATCTTAGAGCATAAACGGTAAGTAGATATCTAACTACAAGGTGGCTGGTAGTAAATAGTCACGAAGAGTTGGAAATCCAGCTCAGTGGCGTACTTTCGGACCGGCCTTGGTTCAGTAGATGACATTTTCGAGGAAATGTATGTGTAATAAGGCAGTAGTGGTACGTACATGAGTTGCGGCGGCGCGGGCGCGGGCGCGGGCGGCAGGTAGGGCAGCGCGGGCGCGGCGCCGGCCAGGGCGGACCACAGTTGCCGGGCGCGGCGCCGGCCAGCGCGGTGGGCAGCGCCAGCGTCGGCGGCGCCAGCTCCACCTGCGCCTGCCGCTCCAACTGCGCGCGAGCTATCTTCTCCTTGAACTCCGCCACCTTACGGGGCACCAAGCGAGAGGAATGGTTTAGTTTAGTTTTTTATTTTTAAGAAAATTAGGTAAAAAGATGAGTCTGATCTAAAAGGAAACTAATGGCAAAAAACTGTCTAATCCTCCACCAGCGTCAATCATTGTTGAACAAGGCTTAATGTAAAATTGTAAATATGTAACTAATTACACTTGGACTTTAAAGTTTTTAGTGGAATTTACAATGTTGGGTTAACATTTAGATGACATTTTATAACTCTACTAAAAAATAACTAATAAAACAGTCAACAGTACATACCTTCTTCTGTATTTCAGCATCCATCTCCTCCCTCCTCTTCTTGGTAGTTTCTTCCTCTTCCTTCTTCTTCTGTTCTTCTTTTTTCTGTTCCTCGGTTTTGGAATTCTTTCCCAAATGCTTGTAAACAGGCATTTTTCCTATAGCAAATATAGTATACAGACATGTTCCATATTGTTGTTGCCACAAATACCATCATAAAAGATAATTAGATCATGATTTGATAAAAATGCAAAAATATAATGTTTTTGGGTGTGCATTTGAGAAACTACTTAGTTTAGCTTGTGGCTTGACGAATAACTATCTACTTTTATGATTGACTGTGATTTGAATAGGTTGGGCTATCTTGCAAAAGTACAATAGCAGCAACTTATTATGACTTTTAATATAATATGAACAATGAAAACCATTTCTATCATAATCATAGAGAAGAAGCAGCTAAAGATGGAATACTCAAAATATGCAATTCTATCAAATATTATAATTATATAACATCTTTAAAATATAGTGGTAAAGTACTACGCAAAGTTCTAATATTACTTTATCTCAATTTTAATAGGAAAATGTTCAAGTATAGAAGTGTCATGGTTACCTATGAAGGGCATCTTCCTGATCTCCGGTTTCTTAGTATCGAGTCGGGGCGTGGTCTCCCTCTCCCTCTGTTCCTCCCTCCGGTCGTCCCGGCGTCGCATGTCATCGCGCCGGTCTCGGTCCTCACGGGCGCGAGTTTCTCGACGTTCACTCTCTCTGTGTATATGTGGTATAAGGTTTTAGGATATAGAAGAGGTTTAGGTTTTTTTCGCATAGTTGGGACCATCGAAGTTATCGAATTAATACCCCTTTGTTTTATTAAACAGAATGTTATTAATATTTTTAACAAAATTATTTAACGAATTTAACTAATCTAAACATATCTTGGGTGGCTTGTCAATGATATAGGACAGTTTGGTCTTGTATAATTATGTACAGCAAGGTTCTGAATTGAATAACTGACCTCATTTTCCTCGATAACTCTGCTATGGTCCGCTCTCTATCGCTTCGGTCGGGTGACCTGCCTTCATCTGCTTTTTCTTTCTTCATTCTATAATAAGATAACTTAATTATTATAAAGGACTGAGAAAAGTTGCTATGAGATGAACAACAATTTTGAGAACTTGGGTTTTAACATCAGTGTTGAAAGTCTCGACAATGATAACGAAACAATAATATAAAATTGGTTACCGAGTCGTAAATGCCATTAATACATACGCCGTTTTCAACTTTATTACAAAAGGTTGAAAATGTACCAAACAAATATGCGAGTTAACGACAGATTTTTATATCTGTCTTGGCACTCTATTTTGCTGTGTAAAACTAATATAAGACTCCGCAGTGGGGTATAGAGATAGCGAAGGTACTTAATATTGAGCTTAACTGTATGCATTGTTAGTTATGTCCAGTAGAGGACAGAAACTTGTAGATGGCAATGATAAAGTAATTTACCTGCTTTTAAGCGTGTCCAGCAGTTTCCGATCATTATCATTCAGCCTGTCCATCTGTATATTGGACATCCATTCCGTGAGGGTCTTGTCATCCCGGCTTTCCAATTTACTCCTTTGTTTTTTAGCTGCAAAAATATAGAAGTTATAGGTAATATAAAATTAATCATAAAAAGAGGTATGTAAGAATCGTAGTAATTGGCGTTCCTTAGTCTCTGCCTACCCCCATGGGAGACAGGCGTGAAGTTATGTATGTATGTATGTAATCATAAAAAAGTATTGCAGATTGGTAGGTAGGACGTAGTTGTTTTTATGTATGTTTTATAGCTATGCATGCAGTATATTTTCAATTGCTGGATCTTTTATATTGATAGCTATGGATCGACTCATTGGTTAAAAAGCGTCTAATAAATGTGACGTAATTTAGAATGTTGTCTATCATTATTTTTAAGCTTATTAATTTGTAGGTATAGGTACTATTCAAGGACTACTGTTAAATATTTGAAATTGTTAAAACTTCATTAGCAATGCCACACACCTTTAGCCTTCTTCTTTTTAACAGGCTCACTATCCGAGCTGCTGGGCTCACTAGATGAGCTGCTGCTACTCTTTCTCTTACTCTTCTTCTTCTTATCCTTCTTCTTTTTCTCTTCTGGAGGGGCAGGAGACTCTTTATGCTTCGTATGGAACCCATCCTTGTTAAATGTAATGGTATGGGCAGTATACTGGGCTGGTTTTTCATCGGACTTGCCTTTAGTAGCCCGGGATTTCTCGAAGGCTTTCTGGCGGTCCGACATCCAGTCTGTTTCCCAGTGCGGGTTTTGTTCTACGAAATTCTGTGAAAAAATTATATAAAAAATCACTGAGGGGTTATTAAGTTTGTTTTCCCTTTAGAGAATAATAATCGCGACCAAACTACGTCGAATTAGTCTATAATAAGTACTTTAAATTGTTCACAATAACTTCAAAATATAAATAACATTTGCTAATTCTAATACAGAACAATATGGTTTAATTGTATACGAATAAAGCGCAAGTTTACAGTCATGATATAAATACTCACAGTATAATTCTTGGAATGTATAACAGATTTGAGATGTGCAGAAGCACAATGGAGATCACCAATAAACTGATCGCACAGCTTGCAGTACCATGCTGTAGAGGGCACGAAGAACTGGAGACCTTGTGGAAGAGAAGATAAAACAATATTACACTATTGTACAGATAATTGAGATTTAATCTAGATATAAGTTCCTATGTATATTGTCGAACCACTGAAAAAGGGTTACAATAAGATTTAACTTAAAAAGGTTAGAATGTAATTCTATTATACAGTTTCTTCACTTTGAGAAGACAGGGGCTTAAGTACTCTTAAATCCGAATTCGATCGGTCGCCATTGATATCGTGAAATTTCGTACTCTTGAGTAGCAACACTAGCGCCCATTGCATCCATATTGCGTGGATATTGAATTAACTAAATACTATTTACTTTGGCTTGATATTCTATACTCTGAATGCTTTTATAACAGCCACGATTAGGTTTGTATAGTGTTGACATTGGATAGCTATCGTGAGACATACTAAATTAACTAAAATTCGCGGGTTACTCGTACGGCGACAGTAGGCTGCTCATGAGGATGAACCCCTCTGTGGTTCGAAACTAGTAGAGCTTTTCTTAGTATACTCAGATTTTTAGTTAACTATTGAGATTTTATTGGATTGAAATTCCATTGAAATTGAGATTGGTTTCAAGAGTAACCAAGTAAGGTCTGTTGGCCTCTTACATCAATGCGGTGTCCCAACTCGCAAGTACAAATCCAGCTGTAGAAGTTTAGTCTGTATTCTTTGTAGCCCGATTAACTGTAATATTTTTAATTATCTTCTATATATATAAAAGAAAGTCGTGTTAGTTACACTATTTATAACTATAGAACGGCTAAATCGATTTGGATGAAAATTGGTGGGGAGGTAGCTTAAAACCAGGAGACGGACATAGGATACTTACAATAATTTTTTTTTTTCTTTTTATCGAGTATCACGAACGGGAACGGGAAAAAACGAGATTGCGCGTACGAAGTCGCGAGCAGAAGCTAGTTGTTTTATATACGTTACCTTTAATAGGCGTGCGTTTAGTAGGTGCCGCAGGGAAGCTCGGGAATCCTTCATTGACGCCGGACACGGTGTGCCACGGGGCTTCCATGTGTGCTGCGGCCATCCTGCACAAATAACATTTGTGTGATTGTCATTACAAAAATATATATACAATACAAAATTTTTTATTGTAAACCATAAAAATAAAAAAGAACATAAAGATTACAAAAATAATAGAAGGCACTAGGAATGGCCTTATCAGTAAAAATCGATCTTCATTCATATCCAGTTCATACCTATTATTTTGCAACATAACGAGTTTCTCCCAGTCTTGAAATAAAAACAAAAATTCACAGATGACCGGGTCTGGTTTTGTTTATTATTATAACAAATATAGTATGGAAAAGTGTTCTAAGAAAGGTAACTTACTTATGATGTGCAGGAGAGTGCAAATGGTTCAGGTAATCCTTAGCAGTCGGCGGGAATTCATTGCAGACGCGGCACCAGTGCATCTCAGGATCGTAGTACACATAGTTGAATTTCTTATTCGATGGCGACCTGATGGAAACCACAAGATATTATAGCAAACAATATATTCTAATAAAAAAAAAAACAACAAGACTATTTTTTATAATCAATGTGCTCACAGATAAAAAATCCCGCGCAAAACTGTGATTCCATTTTTAAATTTTTACGATTAAATTGTTAGATGCTTTTTATGCCTGTAGCATGCAATAAATAAAACCTTTTTAAATTGTCTTCTCTTGTTTTTCTGAAGTACGTAGTAAGGGTTGTATGTACAGAAGGTTTTTACAGCTGGCAACTCTTCCTGATAAAAAAAACCGGTCAGTAAAATCTTCGGATTTACGAAAATTTTATTTCACCTAAAATTGAAACAACTGCTCTCACAACCAGATTTAATGCACACATAACATAAATTGCAACTTACACACATATTTTACAATTTACAGAAAATAAAATAAAATATTCAAAAATACTTATTACATATTTTATCTTATTGATATAATAAAACAGCAATTGTACTGTTATAAGCCAAACACTCACAAAATAAATGGCAATACAAAATCTTATGTTGTATCTTAAATTATTGTTTTTAATTCTAGTTCTTATACATCAGTTAAATTCATGATCGTATTATAAATAGAAAAACATAATTATAGTACAGCATTTTAAGCAGTCCATCGGTGAAAACTTCAAGCTGTTCTTCATGAAGTTGATCAATCACAGTTATAATAATATCATAGCAAATAGCTCCCGAGCTCTCGCGAAAGCTGTGAGTCCTGCTTGTTGGGAGAAAAATGTTGAAACTAAAAACTATTTATTTATACACATTGTCAGATAAATCAAAATGAGCATTCAAGTATGAAAGCTTATAACTATATGAAATATTTTGCCAATTTCAAACCTTATTATTAGAGAAATAAGCTTCCAAATAATAAATAGAGTAATTGAAAAGATAATTCAACCTGCCACAGGGTTGGACTGACCTAGATTTCCGTTTGGAGTTGCGTTCGGATGCGTTGTCGTTGTTGTCCTCGTCGACAATCTCGTGTACGTCCTCGCCAATGATCCCGTTGAGCATGTCCACAACATTGTAGATAGTCTTCAACTTGTTCTGTATCTCCAACTATAAGAAATGCATTGACGCCAAACATTATGTACCCTACTTACAAAACAAGCCTTAGTAAATAGCAAAAATATACACAAATGTGAGCTGTATGACTTAAAACATAAGACACATTGTTGTGTGTTGCTTGTCAAACCTGTAACTTGGTGTTTTCCTTCAAAAACCTCTTGGTGTCTGGGCTCGGCGATCGTTTCGCGTCGCCTCGTAGTTCGTTCCGTTGATCTTTCAATGTCTCCATCTCCTTCTTGAGTATATTTGCTTTCTTTATGTAATCTTCCCTCTGTTTGGACAATGCTGCTTTCTGATGTCGCATTTCTGATTCGATTGCAGCTGCGAAAATATTTTATTATTTTATAAAAAGTGTTAAGTTAATAAATTAAGTGTACTGTCATATTTTGAATGAAGATAGGAAAGTATGTCGTATATTTTATAACAACGTGAGAGCATTTAATATAACAATACACTTAATGAAAGCAAATATATATAATTAAGACTTCTCTTAGCTGTCATGGAACCAATTCTGCTAAACTCTAGAGGCTGTTTTAAGCGCAAGTACCTCTATTGTGGAATATTCTGACTTAGTTAAAACCATGCAAGAAATGCAAGTAATAGCAGAATGTGGTTGGAGGCGGTACAGTCATTGTATTATTAGTTAAAGCAGTGAGAAAGTTGTTTGAGTTGTTTGTTGCAGGTCTCGCCACACCAGAATATAAAACTTGGATCAACACTTTCCTATAAAACACTTACAAACTAAATGTAACAGGAAAATATACGAGTCCTGGAAACATTTCAACATACATAATACAGTTGTTGGGGAACTATGACTACATAACAATATATAAAAATCAATAAAATATTAAGCTAGCAGACATAACATGGAAGTGATGTCTTTGAAAGCTGAGTTTCCGTTAAAAAAATATAACTTCCAGAAACAATAATTCCAGTTATCTTACATTTAATACGCTTTCAAAGCATTCTGATTATTACAGTGAACTATTACCCATATTAGGTTAGTTTTAACAAGGACATTAAAAAGGTTAGAAAGATAAATAGTTGGATGTTCGCATAAATTACAAATAAAAACAAAAATGGTACAATGTTAATCCTGTTTCTATGAATATAACATTGATGAATTAATTACAAAACACATAAATATAGACAACACAAGATTATAATAAAATTCTTAAAAGGAGTTTATCCATACAAAATAAATCACATAAAACCTTCTTGCTGACCTGTAAAGAGAAAAATATAATATGTTTTAGATAGGAGTATAACATACCTTCTTTCTTGATCTGATCTTCAACATTGTTGATGAAGGGTGCTGGTGGCTGTTGAGGAGGTGGGGGCAACGACATCTGGTTCCATGCAGACATGTCTGGAGGTACTGGGGGTTGAGGTACCCCACCCACTGATGGGAAGTCATCATAGATACCAGAGTATGATGGCTGATAATTTGCATTGTAGCTTGGTGCTGTTGGTATTGGTGGTACACCCTTTAAATAATAAAATAGAAATATGAATTATCTAGTGTGTATAATAAATGTGGAAGACATGTGTGTATCAAAGCTCAAAAAGAATTTTCTATGTTTTAGATATTAAGCAAAGCAAAGCATTTATGTCATAAACCAATCAAAATGGTGATCCAGTGTGTGGATGAACATCTCAATTCATTGCTTTCAGCTAATTATGAACTTAAGTCTTTGACTGCCAATAGAAATCTGTCGATTCCACCGGTAATGACAGTCATCGGTGACCCCCATGACATTAAACATGTTAAAAAAATATTTAAAATAAGTAACCAATGTTGTTTTGCAAAGATATCTTTATTGTTTATTTGTGTATAGGTACAAGTATTAATTCTTAGGAAACAGTCTTAAACAAGCTACCCATGACGGATATGCAACACATATAAAATTAATATAATTGAATTGTGTAACATTTAGCACATATATAATCAATTTCTTTATAAAAAAAACTCAAGCAAATTATTTAATGCATAATTAATAAAGTTTTGTTATTGCATTTTAACCATTTTCCTATTAATGGCTTGATAGCTAGTGGTAGCTGATTAGCAATAATTGCAAAGATGGATGATATCCCAATCAATTATTTAGTGGTTCCCATGGTTGGTATGGTTAAAGTTAGCAGTTAGGCAGTGCAATTTGACAATTCTACTGCACAGTGCACTGTATAGTGGCTGGGCAAGTTCGATTCCTGCACGGAACAATTCTTTGTATGATCCACAAATTGTAGTTTCCAGTCTGAATGTATGTGTGAAGTTATATGTTTACACATACCCACGACACAGGAGAAAATACTTGTGTAACCATTAAAAAAATGTTGTCAATACTGTAAATACTGTATATATTGCTTAACAATATTTAGTTTTAACCTTTAAGGTGAAACTTTGTAACCAATCTTAGGCCAAAATCGTTAGATCAATTTGAAGATCGAACAGAACATTCTTAATACAAAGATTTTGGATCTATCCAAAAAATCTGAAATAAATATCTGACCTCTAGATCAGTCATTAACTTCAGCCTTAAATGAAACCAAAAAATGAACATAACTAGTTATCAATTGGATACTCACTTTTCTTCAACAAACAAAACACTAATTTTGTTCTTATCAATGTGGTCTAGTTAGTCAAGGCAACCATGTTGATTTATTATCGTTTTTAATTAACTTACATAAACTAGATCTCCAATACTCATGTTTGCTTAGAGATGGGGAACAATATCTGATATTTCTTTAGCTAATATGATGATGATATAATGTATGATTGAAGACAATGATGCTTTATGGTACCTAATGCTTTTTTTTATCTACAGTTCTATACAAACAATTACTTATAATTTTGTGCTTATCAATAGATTTTGATTAAATTACACTTTACCTCAGGCGGTGGAAAGCCAGGGGGCGGTTGTTGAAAGCCTACATTGTCTTGAAACTGTTGATTGTCCCATAGTTCACTTGGTTCGGGTAATTTCGATATCTCGCTCAGTATGTTCTCATCAAGGAGATCTTTTTCGTTCTTGGTCCGAGGTGAGCGGCTTCTTCGCTTGTCACTGTCGTCTCTTCGTGGAGGAGTACGGCTCCGTTTATGCATAGGACGGCTCCTATAATCCCGTGGATCGCGCATATCCCGGTCGCGGTCCCGATCCCGATTACGATCCCTGTCCCTATCACGCTCGCGATCCCTGTCTCTATCCCAATCTCTCTCTCTGTTATAAAATCTGCCATCTTTTCTATGGTCTCGCGACATTATTCCTCACTTATTTATGACGTTATTCAAAAATGTACGCTTTGTCTTAAAAAAATAACACACGCTTCTCTGACATTAGATCGGCGCCATTTGATTTTTGATTGTTGTGATGAAAATGTTGCTATTTTAAAATAAATGATTTATATTTAATAATGTTGCCATCTTTTGAATCTGAAAGGACTTTGGTATTTTTTAACAGGGACGTTGAAATCCACTTTTCCGTGCCGAACAATGCGCCGTTATTGTGGACATAGAGCAATAGAGTATGAGATACCTATAAAAATTTAGCACAATAGTATTTGTAAATATATTACAATGAGTTACATGATTTCTGTAGCAGGACGCGATACTTAGGTAGGTTAAAAGTTAAACACTAAAAAGCTTGTTCAATTTGCGATAACTTGGACAACTAAAAATTTTTATTTATTCCATTTAGGTTTGAGTAATACAATAATAGCTATGAATAATTATATATAATGAAGAGGTTACTTATTGTCAATCACTATAGTTTTTGTTCTATATAATACACAAAATTAAATTGAAACAAAATATAATACATTGCCCGGGAATTGCAAATTATTAGTACTTAAAGGAAAGTAATTACTAATGAAATCAAAGCTCTTAAAAGACATGTCATGTTTTGTCACTATAATTAAGTACTTACCTAATGATTATTAAACTGTCAAACACCAAGCGGTCACCGGTGACCGCAACCTATTGTTCTATAATTGTGTCTGCAAAACCGGTACTCGACGAGTTAAAGTGTGGGAGAGCTATACTTTTGCATGAAGTGATCACGGCCTCACAGAAATTCGGTGTGAACAACGTTTGCGTTTTGCGTTTTGCCTTGTGAGTGAGGTTTCAGGGCGGAAACCAAATGCTCATACCCAAATATCCATATCCTGATATTTTTAACCGCAAAAGGTCAGCAATGCACTTGTAACACTTCTGGTGTTTCGATAGCTTGCTATTGGTGATAGGTCTTCTCGTTCCTTGCCTTCTATTAGGTACTGTTGGTGGTATTTAACATGACTAGCTCTAATATAATGTAGGTGTTACATAGAACTTAAGGTTCTGAAAGTATGTATGTACATAGAACTTAAAGTTTAAATTGCCAGGTTTTAATTTTAGTCGTGTAATAAAACAAAGTCGCTGTCCGCCGTCTGTCCATATATATGCTTAGATCTCTAAAACTACGCAACGGATTTATACATAATACATGCACTGATGCACTCGTGTGAAACCGGGGCGGGTCGCTAGTAATAATTATAAATTTCAAATTCAACATAAACAGGTGGGTAGCTATACTTCAAACACTACTTATCAAACATCGTCTCAAAGTTAATGCTCTGTCGGTTTAGAATGAAACTTACGTGTTTATATAAAGACAGCAATTACCACCAACACTTAAGCTGGAGGAAACTTCAAAGCGCCTGTTTGTCGTTGAATGGAACCAAACGCGGAAGTTTGTATAGCAATTTTGTTTACATTTCAAATACGTCATACTCACTGATCTCCATTAAATCGTTCAACGAAGTGGAATAGACTTTTAACAAATGAAGTGTGCGCCACATCCAATGTTCCACTCGGTTTCATCTTATTTGACGGCTTAAGTGCGCCCCAGATTGGAATTCGCGCCAGTGCGACGCCATAGTGAAATTGAAGCATTAAGGCTTCAGGACACCTGATGAATTTGTTACATTTATTTAGACTATCCAATACGTATTGATGTTTCAGAATATTACTTTTTCAGACAATCGGAGATGTGGAAAATTGGATATTGGTACCAACGATACACTTTCCTTACGATACAGACCTACCTACCAATCTAGTTATGTTTTAGCATACAGCCAAAATGTCCCTATTTTTCAAGGAAAGCTCTAGCTAGATAAGATATAAGAAACGATGTGAATCTACAGAACAATTCTGGTATAAGTTATAACAAGCCGTATTTCATTACTATCTTCTTCGATTGTGCCATTAAACATTTGTAATGTGAAAAAACCTCGACCTACATGACCGGATCTAAATCCTGAGAAATCTTAATGGACACTTTGATATAGGGTCATTTGGCGATGACAGTTCCACTTTGAGCACCTTCGAGTCAGTGGCAATGCGTCTTCAGCTATCGGGACCCAATGATGTGTGGGCACTCCTGTGATAGATGGTATCCTTACGGTGACTAATGTTCATGGGAGCTCAGCAAGGAGGCTGGTTTATGGATAATTTGTGGCTGATTGATTGTATAGTATCTAGAGGACAGTAGTGACTCAAACTAATCGGCTGAGTAAAGTTATTGATTGGCTATTGAGAATTATAAGCTGAAGTTAAAGTGGAAGTAAACGCATTCTATTGGTAGTTTTGCAGAAACCGAGAACCTAATCTAAATAATCGATCTTCTGCTAAGAGTTGTGTCAATCAGTAGTTTTATTTGTTACAATTGCTATCTACTGATGATTACGACCAAACAGTAGCTTCATTTTAAAAACGCAAAGTAACAAATTACATGCCCCATACCATATGTCTAAGCCTTACTTGTTTTCTTGTTAACCTTTTCCACCTACGGCGCCGTGGTTACAAAGGTGAGAAACTCACCCAGCGACACCTTTACCCAATCAAAAGGTCAGATATCAAACTTCATTAACCACAGTTATTGTATGTTATTGACATGTTGGAATATTAATTATTATTATAGAGGGCTAAAGGGGTATAAAATGGGAAGTCCTGCCCCAGTTATCCACATTCAAGCAAGGTGTGCTTCGTGAAAATAACCTATTCAAGGTAATATTAGTTTTTTATGAATTTGGTACATGTAATATTTATGATTAACTCTAGCAGTTTGTTGTTTACCATTTCCAATTGGATTTATTCAAAGATATTTGTTTAAAAATTCTTTACTTTATGTATTTTTTCACCACTATTAAACACACCAGAACTAAATGCAGTGGCTCCATTTATAATATTAACATTTAGGTGCATTTACCTAATTTGGTTACTTTGTATCTTCTTTGTTTCCTGGCTCCTAAATCCGTAAAGTAGAGATTTACACAATCGATTACCTTCTTGTTCCTTCAGTAAATTATTAGAATCAATATTCCATTTTAATTTTTTTTTTAATTATTATATTTTCTTCCAGATGAATCCTCAACAATCGATCCTCCTTATGGCTCTCTGCGCTATCACGCTGTGTTCAGCGCACATCGGAGGTGGACAGGTGTCATTCCAAGATGCCAACCCTCAAATATACTGTGGCAGATCGTTGGCCAGAGCTCTGGCCTTTTTGTGTTTCGAAGAATCTGGCTCAGAGAGTAAGCGGTCGGATTCCGGATCTATGTATAGTAAGTTCCATATTTGAATTATTCAAAATTTACTGGTAGTATTCCAATACAGAAAAGGTCCATGTATTTATTGATTTTTAAAATTAAGAAACTTAATCATACTTTTGAAACTTGTCTCAAAAATCTATAAATTGGTTTGAAAATTAGACTAAAGGCCATGACGGATTGTCGTGATTCGTGACTGAAAATTGCATACTAAGTTTATATTAAAACTTTCAACTTTCTTTAAAACAATTACGTGAGTAAGCTGAAAACATAATAATTCATAATGCAAATGTATTGCATACTTTTCTAAACAATACGTATGTCACCGTTTTCGCATTTCGAATTTGTTTAAAATGTACCTAGAATGCAAGAACATAACCCATCTGCAATCAATATGGAGATTATTACAATATTCCCTAACCGAGCGCTTCCCACAATAAGAGAAAGCACTTTTATAGTGTACCAGCTGCTTATCTCCTAGTGCAATTTGTTAAAGTCGAGTACAGGGAACGATTTATTACGCAAGCGGTCTACCGATCCGTCAGTATTTAATGCAATCTGAATGTATCTCCATATCTTTTGTGTAGGAACATTTATCTTCCTATTGAATGCATTGAGCAAGACTAATTGTTGCAATGTTGAATCAGAAGAATTGGACAGTAGTGGTAGACTGGTAGATACTTCGGTTTTAAAATGGAATTGATGAAATAGTTGAGGGAAGTGTTTGGCTTAATCACAGTGGACATAGTTGAATGGTAGGTATATTGTTTATTTTCTGTAGAAGAAAGCAAAGAAACTAGAACATGAAACTACTGTTGATCAACGCAGCTAAAAAATTCAGCAGAAAATTCTGGCGTAACGTAACCGGTAACGATTTAAAAACTTGGTGTAAATTAGACCAAAACTATTTTTTCAGATGCTATCCTATCACCCTACTACAAGGAACAGGAAGGTCAGTTGGGCTGGCCCTGGATGGCCCCTCACAAAGCTAGGGGTATGTCCTTGCCTTCAAGAGGAAAGAGGTTCGTCGTCAATGAGTGCTGCGACAAGGCATGCAGCCTCAGTGAGCTACTCTCATATTGCTAGATAACTTTGTTACACTGTGTTGCTAGCTAAATTTGATGTTTCGATAATTTGTAAAATCTATTTATTTATGAGTTTCTGGATGTTAAGACCGAATCGATATATTATTGAGTTACAGAGTAGTTTATGTAGTGTTTCTATAAGTTTGAAATTATTTTGAAATTCAGCGTTAGTTCTGTAAAAATATGGATACTAAAATTCAAGTGACAGGTTCTTTTTTCTTAACATTAATACCTCTTTTCATTTTAACGTTTTAAATAATAAATGTCCCACGCTGGCAACACAGCGATAGCACTATTTTTCTATATTATTATTTCATCTCGATGGATGATCATAAATCATTATAAAACGGGTAATCCCCTGATAGTAGATCGTTGCTCAGACAGTCGTTTATGTGGACTTTTTACTTTTTTAGTAGATAAATGTTATTTATGAGTGAAAATATTTTATGTAGCTAATAATAAATCTATTGTTGTTGCAATCTTGTTTTATTTTATTCGCAGGAAAATTGGGCATACATACTTTATTCATTGCTTTTGTTCATGTTAGAACAAAATCCATACAATATTTCATACCTACATAAACATTTTTTTGATGAAATTCTGAAATAAGATATAGTAGTAACTTGTAAATAAGGCTCATTTCGCTAAAATTAACGAATTCTTTTAGTACTTGCCCGCCCACAGTCTTGAATTCTATAAGCTGTTACATTTCCTCGCTCTAATTTCGCCTACTCCGTTTTTATAGCGGTATTTACTCATAAAACTTTTAAAGCCCAGCTTCTTTCATTGTATCTTTTTGATGTTAATTGCATCTGCTCGTAATAATCTCTTTGTTTACGCCCATTACGGGCTAGGAATTCGAAATGGGATCCAATCCTTCACAACGAGTCGACTGAGCGTGTAATAAACGGTAACATCGGAATGTACGTGGTACAATGCTGGTTGGCTATGAGCGCAGTTTTCGTGTATTCTTATTGTGGCTGTGATGTATTCGTCAGTGTTGGGAGGTGTGAATATGGAATGAGTTTTTGCGGTGGCATAGTGTTGCAATATGGCAGTAGGTATGCATTTGTTGGTGATTCAGTATTCAAGTCACGGCGTACTCTAGGCGTTTGCCGGCGACGGCGAGTGCATTCGGTTTAGCATAAAGTTTCTTTACTGTATCTGGTTATTGTATACGGGCGGTTGAGACGTCATGATCGCTTGACTAATCGGACGGCGGATTAGGTAATTATGAGGTTTAATGGCGAACATGTTGACTCAAGTTGATTTTAGTAGACTGCTGGAGTCCGTGGAGTGTTGATGATTACATCATACTTGTTGCCACTGGTTGCTTGTTGTATGAGCTGTATTTGTTTTAGATTCATAAGTCAATAGTTTTATCTTACCACTATTTCTAAATTCTTTATTACAATGAAGCTTAAGATATCGATTAATAGGTACAATGTGTATAAAGTCATCTAATTAAAAACACCAGAATAATACAAAATGTACCAAAGACACCTCTGCTAGCTATTTTGATATCTTTATGAAAATTCCCTATTCACTGAAACAAAAAAGAAAGGTGTTTTTAAAAATACCTACTTTTTTGTGGAGCATGCTATAAAATGATTTCACTCTATTCAATTTTTTACTAAAAAATAAACCTTTTCGGTCGTTTTAAATAAATTGGGAATATAAAAGGGAAAGGACTTTAATGCAATTAAAATGTTAATCTTTTTCGTCAAGCGTCTTGTTGCTCGTATTTTTTCCTTATATTTTTTAAAGAAACTCTGCACCAGGGATTTGGAATAAAGCACTCTTACTTAAAATAAAGAAATTGTTCCGTTATTATAATTCGTTCTAAAATCAAGAAACCAATTTGGTAAGTGATGACGTCATAGTGATTTCTATTGGTTTCCTATTATCTATGGTGTACTTAAGAACGTTTGAATATGTGATTCGAACAGTGGCTAGCTCTTCTTTTGATTATTATATTTTCAAGTAGAAGTATAATTATATGGGGTTTCATTAGTTTTTTTTTATGTCATAAGCCGGTAAACGAGCAGGTGGATCACCTGATGGTCAGCAATCGGCGTCGCCCATGGCCACCTGGAGCACCAGAGGCGTTACAAGTGCGTTACCGGCCTTTTGGGGATTAGGAGTTTGAGGATCGTTGGGGATTCAGGGATTGGGGAGATTGGGGAAAGGGAAGGTAATTGGGCCTCACACGACGAAACACAACGCAAGCGTTGCTTCACGTCGGTTTTCTATGAGGCCGTGGTATCACTCCGGTCGAGCCGGCCCATTCGTGCCGAAGCATGGCTCTCCCACAATTATAGTTACTTAGTTTACTTAGTGGCTTAGTTTGTACAATTTTCATAGGAAATTGGATTACATTCTTGGGTCTAGGAATGAGAAGATTCTCAAATAAGACAAGATACATAGCTTAAATGAATTCACATGAATAAGTTGAAGATTTTAGAGTATAATGTGAACTAACTATGGCTAATATACACGAAACTAATATCATATTATATTGGAAGTCAAGACCCACTTTTAGTCACTGAACTGCAGTACCTAACTATGTTTCATAATACCACGCTCGTCTGCAACTGTTAACAATAAACAAGACAACATTTCTCCGCTCTCTTTTTGAAAGAAAACTCTTCAAACTCCGCAGTAGAGGGAAGTTGCACTCAACATACAAATTAGACTGTAGCTGGCCAATATTCCCTACTACACTTCACAATGCTTTAAATAATATAACAAAGGCTTTAATGAGACTCTTACTTAATTGTATGCACTGATTTGAATGGGAGTTGCATTTCAGTTTCAATGTTATGTTGGCTCTTATATAATGACTTTTTTTTAAGGGGGGGAAATCATCGAATGACTGCTCCCGCCTGGGTGAGGCGGGAGGGAGTGTCAGACTCTTACTGACTAAAAACCACCCCGTTCCTTCTCCTGCACGTCGAGCCGGAGCCCCGGTTACCTGTTAGGTTATCCGCAACTTATATAATGACTTGGCTTAGGTGTTGTGTTATTTTTTATTTGTGCTTCAGCATAATAGATGGCGCTGGCCATGAATTATTTCTTTATAAAATGTTGAAAATGGTAAGTTTTTTGTAGTACCCTTTGAATACCGTCATTATAGACACAATTAAAGAACAATAGGTGTGCGGACACCGGTGTCCTCGCGGTGTTTGGCAGTTTAAAAAATGAAAAATGAGTCTAAATATAATTAGTATTTGATAATATTCCGCACCAAGTTTTTTTAAGTATCTCTGTTACGAGGTCTGACTACGTTTTTCCAGGGCGACCCTTAGCATCTTTAGCGGCATTTAAACTCGCAAAATCTTATGATCGGTAGAAAAATAATTGAATACTTAAATACTCGTATGTATATGCAAAGTTTACCCTCATTATGTTCCTTATTCAAGTTTTTGGATCTAAGAAAGTTTGGCCCTACTTTAGAGCTCTCAGCATCTTTGAAGTCAGAGTTTATCTAACTGGGCCAATTAAGATTCTTTTTCCTTGTGAATCCTTCTTAGCGAGTATGTAAAAAACATCTGAAGATCGCAAAGATGGTTGGTCAAGATACCGTTGTACTTTGAACTCAATCATCATTGTTGAGCTTGTGTAACTAAATCGCAAATATAGACTTGTAAGAAAAAGTCTTACAACTGCCCTTTACTTTATTGCTTTCACTTAATTTCTATTTAGTTTTAAATTGTTATGTTGCAAGATTGTTGTTGCAAAGTTTAAAACACAGGCATGAATAAAAATAACTTTCCATTCTATTTGATTCTGTATTAAAACCTTTATCATCTAACAGGTCAAATACGATCCTCTATGATTAATCTCTACAAAGTCATGTCAAATCTCCAATTCAATAGATATGGAAGCCTTTCAAACCGATCCTTAGAAAATGGTGGTCAATTTATGGTAGCCAATAGAGTGAAGGTTGACTCAAGCCTCCCGGTGAACGCATAAAGTGCTTGCCTGATGCATCGTCAGGGCTCGAACCTGTATCTAAAATCTACGATCTCTTTGGCATCCGATTACAATGCACTACGAAGGAAGAAGATGGATGTGGTAGTATTAAAAATATAAAAAGCTGTTGCAAAATTATATTTTCACTTAACTGTCAAACGCAAAAATAGGCAATATAAAAATAGTGCCATCAAAAATCCCACCGAATAAAATCTATTTACAGAGAGACGTCAAGCGCTTTCGTAGCAAAAGCGTAGCATCTTCGTAGCTCTCGCGTAATATTTTCGTAGCGGTTGAATATCTGCTACGAAATGCTACGCCACGTAGTAACAGTTACTTATATTTTTACCTAGTCACCGCATCTGAATTTCAAAGATTTTTGTACCGTGGCTAGGTAAATCCTGAACGTCTACAGGCTGAAGTGTTGTCACTGGCCGCCGGGCCACTTAGAGTCGTGCCTTATCTTCAGATTTACAGAGGCTCTTAGATACAGCCACAGGTATAGGCAGGCTTTCGATATTGGAAGTTGAAGTACCGCCTATGTTGGCTCCAATCAATTTTAGGTTCAAAGTTAGGCCTTAAACACTTAAAATGGAGGAGGTAAGAAACTGTAATTTGCTTTATTGCTTGTACGATAAAATTATATCGTATATAGAAGCTATTTAAATTCAAAATACTTTAATGTTCTCGCAAAAATAGGCTGTACTATCTTAGAATAGATGCACGTTCACTGCATGTAGGTAAATTGTAGGAATTCATATCAGTGTGAACGCCTCGCCTTCAATCTTGATACATTGAATGTAGACGGAGCTCCATTGGTCCTGGTAATCTCAATGCACAATAACACGAGGCTGGATTGAATTCAGGCGAATATAGAGCGTATGATAATGTTGTGATATAAAAGGAATATGTTTTGGTGCAAAGATTGCTTGGAATAAAATATTAAATAGCATTAGTATTACAATAATAAAATTATGTTCCATTGATGGCAAATTCTGAAAAAATCTTTTTTCGGTGTCTATTTATGAATACGAAGCTGAACCAATATTGTTTTTAAAACTTACGTGGTATATTTTAACTTTATTGTACATTGACACATTGACTTGAATATCAAATTGGTGGACGTTTCGACTCAGAATTTCGACACGATACGTTACGACAAATTCAGTTTTTTTATATAAGTTTTTTCGCTTTTTTCATATACAGACTTGCAATATTTGATCTATTTCATACATACCCAATCTTACCTATAAAAACAAATAATACGTATATCGTATAGCAAACAAAATATTCAATTTGGAGAACAAAAGCGAAGGAATCCCCTCGCGAAGCAGATGCATCTATCAGATATCGTTTGAAAGCAATCTCTTCTATGTTTTACCGTTTCATCCGTGTTGTATTGGATTACTGGAGATTGCAAGATGTTCGGGACCTTTGCACGATCTTATACTACAGACTTTGGTACTCGAGTACA